AATAAATAAATAAATCTTTTTTTTTTTTTTTTTTTTTGGTTTTTCGAGACAGGGTTTCTCTGTGGTTTTGGAGCCTGTCCTGGAACTAGCTCTTGTAGACCAGGCTGGTCTCGAACTCACAGAGATCCGCCTGTCTCTGCCTCCAAAGTGCTGGGATTAAAGGCGTGTGCCACCACCACCCGGCAAATAAATAAATCTTTAAAAAAATATTTTAACCCATGGTCATTTGAATACATAGATACAGAATCTATAGATCAGAGAGCTTGTGGTACTGCTCAAGTAAGATTGCCTGGCTGATGTGGGATTCCCCTCTGTATGCTGTGAATACAATTGGTTAATTAATAAAGAAAACTACCTTGGTCTGTTGATAGGGCAGAACTTAGATAGGCAGGGAAAACTAAACTGAATACTGGAAGAACGAAAAGTGGAGTCAGAGAGAAGCCATGTAGCGCGGCCAGAGACAGACACTGGAACTTTAGCCGGTAAGCCACAGCCATGTGGCCATACAGTGAGTTAAATTAATATGTAAGGGTTAGCCAATAAGAAGCTAGAGCTAATGGGCCAAGCAATGATTTAATTAATACAGTTTCTGTGTGATTATTTCACGGCTAAGCAGCCAGGAACCAACAAGTGGCTCTCTTCCTACAACATCTGACTGCCCTAGCTAATCGGACTCACGTGGGAGCAAAGCAAAACCCAAGCAAAACCCAAACTCCTCAGTTTTAGCCATCATCTCAGGGATTGTGCTCTCTGACCTACGTGAATATGAAATGATGACTGTACCATGGTTTCTTGCGTCTCACACTTGAACTGTGTCTATAATTCAAGTGATGGTTTTCACATTTAATTACAGGTCAAAAGTTTGCTGTGATGGAGGAAAAGACCATTCTTGCCTGTATCCTGAGACAGTTTTGGGTAGAATCCACCCAGAAGAGGGAAGAACTCGGCCTGTCTGGAGATTTGATTCTTAGGCCAAATAATGGTATCTGGATCAAACTGAAGAGGAGACATGAAGAGCCCTAACTTTGTCCTTGGGCTGTGACCTTAAGATGAAGATCATTCCATAAGAAACACGGTATTTGCAGTTTTTATATTGGGAGCTGAAAACTCTTGAGTCCATGGACATAATGTTTTTTCTTGCCCCCACTGCTCTTGGGACCCAGTCCGTCACAGTGAGTTTTGTATATTTATTTCCAACAAAGATGCCATGTCACACCTGCTCTTGGTCTCAAAGATATTCTCAGCTGAGCTAGCACCAAAATAAGCATATAATAAAAATTATAGCAGATGGAACCATCAGCCTATTCAATCTCATTGCTATATTCAAAAGATGTCATTTAAATGAAATTTCAGAATTAAGATGTTCTTGTTGACTCTGACACCCATAAGATATTATTTGAAAATGGTGGGTAACCAAGCTCTTCAGCATCGTGGCCTTAAGATTCATCTCATTAGTTATGAGATAGGCAGTTGTCATAACTCTTGCCGATTTTATCATGAAAAGCAGGTCCCTTGCATGCCTGACTCAAGTGACAGCCACCTTGCTGACTGTGTGCAAGGTCTTCTTTCTGTTCTTGGTGGAGTCACAATCACCGTTTACATCATGCTATTGGAAAAGATTCCTCTCCAGAACTTCCAACCTCTCATGGTACCTCAGAAGCTCAGCTAGTGGCCTTCGAAGTTCAAGTATCCATGGAAATTCTCTGCTTATGCCCCGTTCATTCTATTAAGAGTAGGAGTATAGAATAAATGAGACAGTAAATTTCTGCTCAAGTTCTTCTACTAATTGTGGATGGCTAGACATAGATAAAATGTCTACACTGGAGCCTACCCATTCTTTTTTTGATATACTTTCTCCTGATTTGGCTTTTTGAAACTCAGGACTGTGATTTGATGGGCTAGAACCTTTTAGTATTTCTGTGTTTCTTCCACTTTTAGAGAAAGAAAGAATCTGTTCTTTTTTAGAGAAAGAAAGAATCTGTTCTTTTAAATTTAGTAACACTGTAATAACACTTGGTTCAAAATTAGACATCTAATAAACTCAGCCCTGTGGAGTATCCTTGCAAAGTTGATAATTGAATTACATTCCTTAGACTTTAATCTTGTATATAATACTGCTATTTCTCAGGCAATGACTGTTAGACACTTCTTTTTAATAAATATTTTTTAACAGGATCAGCTGTGTGGCTTGTTTTGTTTCCAATATTTCATGACCTAGCAAACAGAAGCAAGAAATGGAGAGGATAGAATATGTATCCATGAATCAGTACCATAGGGAACAGTATAACAAATGGCATTTGGCAAGCAAGGCACCACAGCACGGGGCAAACAGGGAAACATTACCAAATAGATGGTTAGACTCTCCAGGGAGCCCCAGTGCACAGGACTCAAGTCCTAAGCTGATGAGAAAAACAAAACAAAAACAAAGAGGGAGATACACACTTGTAGTGAAATGTATAGTAAAGCCTTGGTGTATGACTTTGAATAAAATGTTTCAGCAAAGCCTTTGCTATGTTTGGGTTCATCGGCAGAGGC